GCTCTGGGCTTGAGCACGTTCAACTTTACTTGGACTGATGTTGTGTAATTTAATGCGTGTGCACTTTTTAATTTATGCACTGTTTGTCCTGGATGCTCTGTTTTATAGGGAGGTTCAACAGTACCCCCCCCCCCCCCATCTGATCTGAAGTTTGGGGGCTTTGTACTTTTTAATATTTTCAACACAAACTGCAGATGTAAAGTGTTTACAGGGAGGAAATGAAGAAAAAAGAGGAAACAAAAGACTCGAGCACAACTATTCACATGTTCGAGTCATGACGTCGCAGAGCCACTCAGAGCCTCGAGTCTCTTTGTTCCTTGAGCTGTTCATCTCATCACGGTTCATTCTTCACAACTGCTCCAGGTCCATCAGGTTGGATGGGCAGCCATCTTTAATCAGTCAATCTCTTACTTATAAGCATATTAAAATCAAATCGGTGCATCCAGAAAGGATTCACAGTGCTTCACTTTTTCTGATGTCCTTCATGTATTTATTCCAAATTGTATTGCATTAATCTCTGTCCTCAAATTGCTACACAAGATTATGAAAAGGTGAAAAAAGATTTGAAATGTTTGCTAATTTATTAAAACTAGAGAAATTGCATTTCCTGTGAAAATGCAGTTTGAATGTTTATTGCAGAAGAACTTGCAGAAAAACAGCTAAAATTAGCTTAAAAACATGCTGAAGTGGAAGAACAAGCCTAGATTAGCAGAAGAAAGCAGAAACACATATTTGCTTAATTAGGTTTAAATAATGTTTTAACGGTTTAAATGTTAGGCTAACTGGTAACACCTGTCCTTAGGTGTGTGAGAGAGTGAACGGTTGTTGTCTCGTGTCCCTGTGATGGACTGGGGACCTGTCCAGGTGTCCCCCACCTCTCGCACAGTGATGGCTGGACATGGGCACCAGTGACCCCTGCGACCCAAAATAGGAAGAAGTGGGTAAAGAGGATGTATGGCTGGATGGATGGAAGGATGGATGGATGGAAAATTTAAATAAGGAGAAATGAGCACCAAAATAAGGAAATTACCTAAAAACGCTAAAATTAGCAAAAGTAGCTGAAAAGGCAGAAAGAAGCTTAAGCTACCAGAAGGAAGCGGAAAGAGCTGAAAAGAGCTAATAAAAAAGTGGAATTAGCTTAAAAAGATAAATATAGCATGAAAACAGCTAAACAGTAGCTGAAATAGCAACAAAAGCTGAAAGTAAAGGATAACGAGCTGAAATTAGCAGAAAGAAGTTAGAAGAAGCACAAAAATGTTGTAGTTAGCAGAAAGAATCTGAAAGGAGCACAAAACAGCTGAAATTAGCGAAAACAGTTTAAATTTGCAGCAGGAAGCTGAAAGAAGCTGACGCAGAACCAAATGTGAAAGGAGCAGTAACGGGTTTATCTAAATGAGCTCAATTCATCTATGAGAAAACCAAATGGCAGAAAAAGCTAAATATTTCAAAAAGCTAAAGTTGCAGCAGCAGTCTGAGCAGGGTTGTCCTGAAGGAGCCGAACGTTTTGATTTGTTGAAGTAGATGAAAGCTGGGACGAGGATCTGGCCAACAGACGTGCACAGTGGTGCGGCTGCTTCATAAACGACAGGCGTTGCTTCAGGTGGACCCACCTCTGGCAGCAGCTGCAGCCTCGTCGTGAACACGAAGCTTCAAGCGGAGCACAGCTCTCTTCAGGTTGTTCCCACCTCGTCTTTGCAGAACTTCTCCATCACGTTGGCTGGGAGACGTCTGTGCAGCCATGTTCAGAGATCTCCAGAGATGTTCAGTCAGATTCAAGTCTGGACTCTGGCTCCTCCAGGACCTTCACAGAGTGGTCTTGAAGCCCCTCCTCTGAGATCTTGTGCAGGTGCTTTGGGTCGTTGTCCTGCTGAAAAATGAACCGTCGCCCCAGTCTGAGGTCCAGAGCTCTCTGGAGCAGGTTTTCATCCAGGATGTCTCTGTACATGGCTGCATTCATCTTTCCCTCCATTCTGACCAGTCTGCCAGTTCCTGCTGCTGGAAAACATCCCATATTATGATGCTGCCACCACCGTGCTTCACTGTAGGGATGGTGTTGTTCTGATGATGAGCTGGTTTCCTCCAAACATGACGCCTGGCATTCACACCAAAGAGTTCAATCTTTGTCTCATCAGACCAGAGTTTTGCTTCTCATGGTCTGAGAGACCTTCAGGTGCCTTCTGGTGAACTCCAGACTGGCAGCCATGTTCCTTTGATACGGAGTGGTTTCCATCAGAATCTTTCTTTATGATTGTCCACTGTTGTCATCACCCTTTGTCAAAACCAGCTCTCTTGTAAACGAGGCTCAGTGGGATCAACCTGCAGAAATAAAGGTTGAATGAATGAATTCATCTGGCCTCCACCATGCAGGCCTGGTTGGTGGATTGCTGCAGAGATGGTTGTCCTTCTCTCCACAGAGGAACGCTGGAGCTCTGACAGAGTGACCATTGGGTTCTTCGTCATCTTCCTGAGGCCCTTCTCCCGACCTCAGTTTAGATGGATGGCCAGCTCTTGGAAGAGTCCTGGTGGTTCCAAATTTCTTCCACTTAAGAATGCTGGAGGCCACTGTGCTCACTGGGACCTTCAACGCAGCAGTTCTGTATCCTTCCCCAGGTTTGTGCCTCAACACAGTCCGGTCTCGGAGGTCAACACAATTCCTTGGACTTCATGCTTGGTGGTTGTGCTCTGACATCACTGTCGACTGTGGGACCTCCTGTAGACACGTGTGGACCTTTCACATCAAGTCCAACCAGCTGCATTCACACAGGTGGACTCCAGTTGTAGAAACATCTCAAGGACGATCAGTGGAAACAGGAGGCACCTGAGCTCCGTTTGGAGCTTCATGGTAAACGCTGTGAATATTTCCCTAAACATTTCTTGGTTTTCCATTTTTAATTTGCAAATATAAAAAATACATTTTTTCACATCGTTATAATGGACTATTTTGTGTAGAACTTTGTGGAAAGAGATTACTACGATTTGGATCAAGGCTGTAACATCTGGGTGCACTGGAAACTGTCCTGCAGTAAGACGTGTCCTGTTGGGGACACAGAGGGACGAGCACGTGTCCTGCAGTAAGACGTGTCCTGTCGGGGACA